GTGATTGTATCTAGCAACCTTGTCTTCCATGAATTTCCTTTGATATTTTCCCCCAAGCATTGAGCTTTTCTTTGAGTCTTTTGCCTTTGCATTATGGTTCTAAAATATTTAAACATCACTATCCTTATTAGTGCTTCTTGCAAGCAATCCAGTGTTATGTTGTTTAGTATTACAATATTTTGCTTCCTATGGTCCAAAGTATTCTCAACTATTTTGCTGTAGCACCATAATTCAAAGGCATTAATTTATCCTTTCTTGGCCTTTCTGATGGTACAGTTTTCACAGCCATATGTTCCAATTGGGAAAAATATAGTCTTTACAATTCATGCTGTTATTGTCAGTGTGATGTCTCTGCACTTGAATATTTTGTCTAGATCTGTCATCTTTCTCACAAGTAGCAGATGTCTTTTCATTTCATGGCTACACCGTCACCATCCCTGTGAATTTTGAGCCTAGGAAGATAAGCATCAACTTCTTCTCTGCTTATATCCATTGTTGGCATAATTTTATTTTTTAATATTTTTTTTAAAAAAACCATTGAGCAGCAGACCAGCTTTTGCATTGTTCTTTTCATCTTCAAGAAGAAATTCCTTAAGTCTTCCTCACTTCCAGCCATCATAGTTGTATAAACAGCTTTTTAAGGTTGTTGATATTTCTTCCAGAAATTTTAATTACAATTTTTATTTTTTTTTAATCAGCATTTTTCATGACATATTCTGCATGTAAGTTAAATAAGTTAGGTCATCATGTACAACTTTAGTACTTTTCTGCTTCTGATGTAATTGCTCCCTTAATTGCTGTAAGAAGTTTCCTGGTTATCATATTAATTGTTCAATTGGTCCAGTACACCTATGTTTTTAAGAGCGGTTCACAATTTGTTATAGTAGCCTATGCAGTAATTTTTTATATGTTTATTAATGTTATAAATTTCAGCCCAGAGATTTTTAAACACTCAGTTTATCAAATCTAATCCATTAAATTTATTCTTTATTTTCACTGCACAATCAAAGGAAACATTGTTGATGTTGTTTCTTTGAATTTGGTGACCTTATTTGTTTTCTTTAGTTTGAGTTTTGGTTTTGCAAGAAATTAAAGGCCTGATTCACAGGCAACGCCTGATTTGGCTTCTGCTGACTGAACAGAACTTCTCCATCTTTGCATATACTGTAGAGCAGACATGTCAAACAGAAGGCCCGGGGGCCAGATGCGGCCCGCGAAGTAGTTTCATGTGGCCCACGAAGCCATCTTGGAAACAGTGAGGGAACGGCCCCCTCTCCCTTGGCCCTGGCCTAGGCCAGCCGGGAGCCAATGTACAATTTTGTGGTGGTGGCCATCTATGCTGAAACACATTCAGTCTTAGCTCCACAAGGCTCTCTGGAAACAGCGAGGAACCAGGAGACCCTTGAGTAGCAGCCTTGGGGAAGTGGGGCTGGGCTTGATGCCGCGGGTGCTCAAAAGCCAGGCTGGGCATTTGACCTCTGCTGCCCAGGGCTCCGGGCAGCCCGTACCATCATCCAGCCCCCCCGCATGTCCTGAGAGGAACAGTGAGGCTCCTCCAGTGAACCATGCCTTGGCACTTGCCCTGATCCCATCCCTTCTGCCAGAGACCCTCAGATCTGTCCCATTCCTGCCCAGGCCCCCACAGGCACCCTTGACGCGAATGATGTAGAGCTGGCCATGCCCACCCAGTAGGCCACACCCACTCCATCCATGCCCACCCAGTAGGCTGCACCCACCTTGGCCACATCCACCTGGCCCCCTGAGGGCAACCGCAATGCTGATGCAGCCCTCAATGAAATTGAGTTTGACACCCCTGCTGTAGAGTATATTTGATTCCACTTTGTCTAGTGATACCCATATGAAGAAGTTGTTAGAAGGTAGTTGCTTTAGGTTGTTCAAAGAAGGAATCTGTTACAAATATTGGATTTAATTGACAGAACCATTTGTTTGTTGTCTGCTTTATTTCAGATGATATTTTCCTTCCAGGTTAAGCATTCCAGTCTGCTATAATTAGCATGTTATCTTTTTTCTTGCTGGTGTGGTATTGACATGGTGTTGCAAATTACACAGAATTGTTCATCTTCTGTTTACTTCATATTTGTGATTGGAACACATCTAGCATCACCAAGCTGCCTTGGACTTGAATTGACATCATTCTGTCATTTTGGGGGCTAATATTTGAATATTAATTTTGACATCCTTTTGTTAACAATGATAACTACTCTAGTCTTCTGTTTTCTTATTCACGGTAGAAGATCTATTGCTCTTCTGATGTGAAGTAACACATTCCAGTTTATTTCAATTCACTAACTGATTCCCAAAAGCAGTGTTCAATCTTTCAATTTCTGCTTTGAATAAGAGCTGGATAGCTTTAGAGAATTGAGGTTGAAAGAAAGAAATTATTTCAGTACACAGATGGCAGTTTTCTCTACAGATAACACTTAGCTATAGAGGGGGGAGATGTGTGGTGTGCATTTGAAAAACAATCCAAGTTCATTTGCAATATAATTTATTATGTCTTCTGTCCTGCTATCAAAATAAATACATCAGGCCAATCTCCTCCAAGCTAGATCTTTCCTGATGTATTAGGATGGTAATTTCTCTGTTTCCAGCTAGCAGGTCTAATACCGCAAGAACATGGCAGATGGGGGAAGGCTATATTAGTATGGTATTGTATATATCCGCATAAATATGGCTAAGGGTCCTAATCATTTCAAATAAATATATATCTTAGAGAAACTGACTAGAATTGGTGATTTCTGTGGAATGAGGTATTTATATTTAAAATAGAAATTATCATTAAGAGCTGGAAGAACAAGTAATTGATTCATGGTTGAACAAAAGGAAGGAAGCCATCTAAACTGATTTTTAAATTTTAAATCTAAGTTTAAAAGAACAAATTTCAGCTTGGGGATCTATACTTTTTAATTTTTTCTCCAGAGTTATTTGCACTAACATGAAACCACTAGGATAGTTGTCCAGAGATTCTTCAATGTACTTATGTATGCATCTTCAAGTCAATGTTGACTCCTGGTGACTGCCTGGACTAGGCAATATATATTTTTGGAAATGATTTATCATTTCCTAGGGCTGAGAGAAAATAACTGGCTTAAGGTCACCCAGCTGGCTTTATTGCAAAGGTGGGACTAGAACCTATGATCTTCAAACTGGCTCTCTTACTTGTATATTATTTAATTCTTTTCTTTTATCAGATTTCAGGAAGAGTACATAGATTACTTCAATTACGTCTATTACTATATTTAATTGTTAAGATGGCATCATGGAGGTCACCTGGTTTCAGTGAAAGAGAGGGTTTTTTTAGTTTATATTAAATTATGGAGGATTTTTTTATTATTTTGGCTGGTTTGTTTTGGAAGTTATGTTTTGTTATCTGATATATTTTTAGGGTACTGGTTCCAAACTCTGAGAGATTCTTGGGACAATTTTTGGTTGCTGCAGTGGAACTTGCCGTGTTCCCATGAGAGGCTTTCAGGTTGTTTACTTGCTGAAGATCAAGCTGCATCATTGTTGGAGGTTGTGGAGAGGCTGTAGAGGGCAGTGCTACCCAAAAGAATCTGGACGTATCCTCTGAGCATAGAGACTTTTTTTCCCCTTTTGTGGCCTGTGGCTATCACTATAATTGGCCCAGCATCTAAGGTAGAGGGCTGACTGGATCTCTTGGGTTGCTGAGGCTAACGCTGAATTTAATCTGTTTTTTTAATTGGCCATTTGGTCAAAGGGTGGCCAAAGGATGGCACCATTCCCCATCCTGCTGGCTGATTAGATGGCATATAGTGTGGGCTGACAATATTTATCATTATCAAATTCATTTGATTGTTAGTCATCTCCGGAATTCCATGGACTTTGCTATGGCACGTGACAGAGATAAATGGCTGAGACTGCTTCCCCAGGATTTCTCTGGATGGATCATTTTACTGGAAGGAATTAAGGCTGGGTCTTTGGATCCTGATACTTTTCTAAGGACTGACTCAGGTGGCCACTTATCTATATTTAATTTCTAGATGTGTATCCTAACACATAGGTTTTTGGTACATATGTTTGCCTAAAATTAGATTCAGATGGATTGAGATGTTAATTTCCTATTGGGAAAAAGTAAAATGCTTTTCATTGTCATTTTGCATAATTTGTGATTGTAAAATAAGATGAGCTCTTGTTTGAAGAAATTGCATAGTTTACTATGCAGCAGCTACGCTATATTTAGTAGTTTTGATATGAAATAGAACATAAGATCTTTCACCAGTAGGTTTTAGGACGTATAATTATTTGTCTTAGAAATCTAAAGGGTGAGTAAAAAAATGGAAGGGGTTACATGGCAATATACAACACAGCATCAGTACTTTCCTTCCCCCCCCAAAAAAATTAAATTTCGTCAAGTGGCAGCCCTTATTTTCTTACCAAATTTCTAATGAGTGGGTGGAGTTCTCAATAATGATAAGCTGTAAGGCAATAATAGTCCATCCATCCAAGGCAGATGTGCTTTGAATTTTAGTATGGAATGGGAGTCATTCTTTATGCATACCATGGCTACTCTTATTAGCATTATTTATTATGTTTATTTCAAAATAACCTGAAAGTGAGGGTTTTTGTGTTTTTGTCAATTCTTCAGCAGTCTATTTTTCTCTAAAGTTAGGATAAGGTCCAAGCATTTTGTCCATATCATGGCATACATGATGTATAGTAAAAAAAAAAAGTGTTAACATGGTTGTGATAAAATAGTCAAAAACAAGATGATGCTTTACCTTTTTTGATGTATCTTTTTGATATAAAATTTGAGAAATTTTTAGATCAAAACAAAATATTTTTAGACTAAATTATATAGTGTTTGCAATATCTGGAAAGATTCTTGACTGTTTTGACCTCAATTCCTTCTTCTAATGTCTTTCAGTCCCAGCAAAAATGCATCGTGATTTTTGCACTGGTTTGCTGCTTTGCAATTCTGGTTGCACTGATATTTTCAGCTGTGGATATTGTTGGAGAAGATGAATATGGACTTACAGAAAAAAACTGTCAAAATAACTGTCGGTAAGAGGTAACAAACAAAGCTTCTTTTTTGGGGATAAATGGCTGCTGTGATGCAAAAGATACATAGAAAGAAAGTTTAAAACTTTCTTTAGAGGTACAAAAACAAGGTGAATTGCAATTCATTTGTAAGAGTAATGTGAATGTCAGAATTTTGAAATAATCTCTAATTTGACAATATCATCCATTTGAACCCAAAGCTCAATAGAGAACATTTTTAAATGTGGGTATAAATTGATCAGATTGCATGGTCATATTATATTTTTTTCTCATATTAACATAAACAAACATCCAATGAATAGCAGAAATAAAGGTGAATATAATGTATGTCTCATATTTAAAATGTGATTTACCTGCAGGCATGATTCTTTAGTTAACCATGTTTTCAAATGTATTTTTCTGAACATAGTTCAGAATGTTTCTAGCAAAGCTTATAGAGGAAAATGAATTTTAGAAGTAATGTATCCATTTAAACATAGAGTGTCAAGGTTCTGACTAATGGAACACTTCAAAGAACTTCCAGGCATTGTTTATCCTAAAAAGTCTTTAATCATGTAAAGACAGTGTCAGCACACGGCATGGAGGATGCCAAGATCTGAATTCTCCTCCCCTGCACATAACATTCCAGCCTATTCCCCTCCTCTATTTTGTAGTCATAAATCACGTTTTCCAATCAGCCCAAAGGGCAAAGGTTCACCTCCGTTCTGTAGCCCAAGTATTCTTTATCTTAATTACTCCAACACTGGAAGTTTTTAAGAAGAGACTGGACAGTCATTTGTCCGAAATGGTATAGAGTTTCCTCCCTGAGCAGGGGGTTGGACTAGATGACCTCCAAGGTCCCTTCCAACTTTATTATTATTATTATTATTATTATTATTATTATTATTATTATTATTATTATTATTATTATTATTATTATTATTATTATTACTCCCCACACACATTCTTTCTCCTCCCCTCCCAGCATCATCTAAGTTAACTCTAAAAATACCAGACAGTTCTGCATATTTTGCCAAAGCAAGAATATTCAATGTTAGCAGCGTTGACATAGAGCCTTTGACTCATTCAAATTATTTATAAACTTTGTAAATAAGGGCCAGCAGGTGTTTGTGTTATGTCAAAGTTTGCATCCTTACTTTTGTCATTTTTATTACATCATTTCTTGAGATATTTTGGTTATTTTATGCTTCTTACCTTGTAATATTTTATAAGATCTTTTATAAGATAACTAACTTTGATATTATTTTGTTATAGTGTTAGGTATTCTGTTCTGGGTTTCGTATTGAATGACAGGTAGTTTACCATTTTATAGAGAAAGTAATTTATAGATAAATAAGGTATACATTATCATGCACAACAACACTAAAAAGCAATGCACACTAATATTCATACGAGCTGAAATTAGATTTCATGTGTTTAAATTAATAGATAATAAAGTAGCATAAAATCAAGTGCCTACATTTTGAAATGTGGACAAGAATATTTTTTAGTTTTTTAGTTTTTAAAAAAATTTCTTCCTATCTTTTTCTTTTAAAATTATAAATGTATGCGTGTCTTTTATTTGTTAATTCAAATTATCTTCTTGCACTACGTATAAATTTGATATTTATATGTTTTTTCCTTCCTTTTCTAAGAAAAAGAGCATTTTTAATGAAATGCTGACCTTCTGTTTAAAACAATAAACTGTGCCATAAAAGAGAATATCAACAGATCAAAGTTGTACTGTGGGGTTCCGGTTGGATTGCAGCGCCGATGGCAGCTTCCTTTCGAGGCTGCCTGCCCCGAGGACACGTTAGAGCCACAGGAACAGCTGTTCCGCGGCTCAATCCCCCTCCCCGGGCAAAGGGGAGGGGGCGAGCTTCCCCGATAGGGGTAGAGCTCCTTAGCCTTCGCATTTTCCAGCTGTGAGGGCTAGGTGAGCTCCCCCAGAGTCGGGGACTTCTCCGTGCTTTGGGCTCCTTCGTTCAATAGAACGAAGCCAGACGCGCATCCAATCTCTGCTGTTTTAGGAAATTAATGACTGTGAGTACACCTATCATGCAGACAGAGCCTAACAGGATTTTTTGAAAACTGTTCGAAATGGGACTTTAACTCTGGAATCTATTTTGTATTTGTTCTAATTTGAAGAAGAAGGAATATGGCTGCGGAAGGGCGTTTCTTTTCGTTTGATTGAAACTTATGAGACTTTCGTTTTTTGGAAATACATGAGACTTTTACTCTTTGGAAACTTTCTCTTGGATTATTTTATTGTAACAGATTTAGCTACTTTGGATTGTTTGTGCAAGTACTCCTACTCCATTGTTGTTTGAGGTTCTTATAAGACTGTTAGATTTTTTCTTTTAAGATTTTTATAAGATTCTTTGAAAGAGAAAAGTAAAATGGCCTCTAAACGTGTGGGATTTTTTGTTTCTCAGAAAAGTACGATCTCCTCTGCAGCTGTTTTAACATCACAGCAACCAAAACTTGATGTGCCTCCGCCTTCCCCCCTAACTTCAGCATTTATATTGAAAGAGATACAGGATGTATTTAAAGACATTGTAAGACAGATTAGAATGGATATGGAGAAACTTACTGATAAGAAATCTGAAGAGAAAAATGTAGAGATGAGAAAAGATCTATTGTCTGCCTCTCAAGGCTTAGCATGTCATGAAGAATGTGTTGATGGATGGGACGAGGAAGCAGAGGAATATGTTGAAAGTTTGGAATTTGAATTGGAAATGGGGGAAAAAGTGGACTTAATTCAAAATGAGGTCGTTATGTCACAATATAGAGAATTGGAATATGCTTCGATAATAAGAGAAAAATCCTCAAGAGAAATCGGAGGAAGAGGATGCAGCAGATTTGGTTATGGTTCTGAATTGTCAGCCCAAAGATATTATGAGAGAAATGTAAAAAAAATTATAGAATTAATTTATGGGTTGCAAGACAGAAAAACCTTCCAAGAGATGTTGTTATCTACTCTTCTAGAAAAGCAATTCGTAATGGAATCATTCAGCTTTTTTATAAGCAGAAAATACCACTTAAAGTGTTTAGAAGAAGAAAAGATTCTGCCCTTTTGTTCGACAAGGTACCAGGAAGGAAGGAACTTATGAAGATTAAGTGGTTGAAGGAGTTATACTATTATCAAGTGCGACAAAATCACAAGATCAAGATGAAACTAAGTAACAAGTTAGAGGTGATCAGAAAACTTAGAGAATGACCCGTGCAGCTTATAGATGCAAGAAAGAGAGTATTTAAAAATGTGGACATATGAACTAAGATATTAATTTGGGAAATAAGAAATTTTTTTTTTGTTTTTTAATCTAACTGCAAGAAGAATGAATAAGGCTGTGAAAGGATGTTTTGTTTTTTTTTCTCTTCTTTGATGGATTTTGTTTGGGGAGCAATTTATTATGTTGATAATAGAGTAGATTATGAATTTTAGACTATTATTGTTGTTTGATTTTATTATTAGTGTGCTTAATAACTGGATATGGGTCTAAAAGAGTGGGGTTTTTTTTTAGTGGGGAGCAACTTATTAATAATAGAGTAGATTATGAATTTTAGACCATTATTGTTGTTTAAAAGTTATAACAGTTTACTTATTATTATTTTTAATTGTTAGTATGATGTTATTATTAGTGTGTTTATTAATTGGATATGGGTCTAAAAGAGTGGTGTTGTTTTTTTTTAGTGAAGTCCAGAATGTTATTGTTGCTTAAATGATTTAGTTTTATTTTTTATTTCTTAATAAGATATTAATATTATTGCGTTTAATTGAATCTTAATTGAATTTTAGAGTACTTATTTTTAATTTTAACTATTAATATGATACTATTATTATCGTGTTTATTAATTATATATCTGTTGAAAAGAGAGTTAAAGGAGGTTACAGATTTGTTATTTTAACAGTTTTCAGATAGAGTTAAAGGAGGTTATAGATTTATTATTTTTATAGTTGTTTAAAATTATTTAGAGTATGATTATTTTATTATTATTCCTGTGATTGGCTCTGGGAAGTGGGGGGGGAGGGAGGGGGGCGGAAGGGTGGGTTTGAGGGAGGGATTTATATTGTAAAATGTTATAAAATTTTCAATAAAAAAAAAAGTTGTACTGTGGAATCTTGGTGCCCTCTGAGTTGGGTTGTTTGCTTGAAGATGTTTCATTATCCACCTAGGTAACATAATAATTGCTAATGTTACCTACCGATGCTACATTATTGCTAACCTAATGAAACATCTACAAGCAAACAACCAAACTCAGAGAGCACAAAAAAACATGCATTTTGTGCAAGTGAGAATTATATTGAGAGCTATGCATAGAACATATTTTTTCATATCAGAAGTGTTATGTTATGTTATGTTATGTTATGTTATATTCAAATAATTCTTGAAAATAAGTGATTCCATGTATCCAGAAGGGAGAAAGCCTTGATAAAAGTAATATGAAATTTGGCATTTGTGTTACAGAAATACCCACTGTAATACAGTACAGTATATGTATTCCCAAGCACATTTTATAAATTGCAGTTTTTCCCTTTTATCTTCGCTTATTCTACTTTGTAGTCCTCTGTCTTGCTGTATGTTGGAATTTTAGCTGTCTTTGGGCTGTTTATTTTATGGTTTGCTGGACTGATGCACCTTCACATGTTAGGTAACAAAGGAGGTGAGTAACCATAGATCCCCATGACATTTTTGGCATTAGGAAACAATAAACAGGTTAACCACATGGCTTATAAGGATTTGTTTTCTTTAAATGGTATTCATCAACACTCTCCATGACTCATCACCTTTCTATTATCCAAAGAGAAATACGTTTTTGTATATATTGACAATAGACTTTTCTTTTCATTCACATTTGCATTTTTGTATTTCAGTAATACGTGATAAAATGTGTTAGTGTTCCTTGTCTTGTTCTTAATTTGGTAAGAATTCAGAATGTTTAAAATCTTTTCTCAATTAGTATATATTCTCAGTGCTCTCAAGTAACTTCTGAATACATACACACATATCCATCCATTCATCCACATATATTTCTACCTTCTCACCCACTTATTACTCTCACACTCAGCAATTCACTGATACCAAATGAACTATCCCACTGCAAAGACTCTTCTCAGACTCCCCTCCCCTGTCTTAGAAGCAACTGCAATAAACTCCACCTCATTTTCCCAAGCCAGGAGATACAGTAAGCCGTGCAAAATTCTCCATTACCAACTGGATGAGTAGCTAATGACCAGCATTTTGAAAAATGTCTTGGAAATGGTTTTTTTAAATAAATTTCAGCGATGGGCTTCAGGACCATAAAGCCTTCAGAAAATTTTCCTCCTTGAGTTGCCATTTGCACAAGTCCTAATATCACGGGTATCAGGTGCAGCCATAGTTATAAGTTCAACTCCTCCCCTCAGAACGCCACTGTAGGGCATTGCATGCCAAAGCAACTAGACACAGGGGCAGTTTTTTCCCTTGTGCCATCAGGAAGGGATCAACCTATTTTCCAAAACACCTGAAGGCCAGACAAGGAATAACAGATGGAAACTGATCAAGGAGAGATTCAACCTAGAAATAAGGAGAAATAAGGAGAACAATCAACCAATGGAACAGATTGCCTTCAGAAGTTGTGGGAGCTTCATCACTGGAAGCTTTCAAGAAAAGACTGGACTGCCATCTGTCAGAAATGGTGTAGGGTCTCCTGCTTGGGGGGGGGTTGGACTGGATGACCTACAAGGTCCCTTCCAATTCTGTTACAATATTCTATTCTACTCTGCTGAACACCTAATCCTCACAGTATTGTCTTACTGTCATCCAAAAAATTCTTTCAGTTGAAACTCATTTAAAATGCATAGTATTATTTAAAATTTATAATGGCTTCCTAATGCACATAGGTGTCAAAATTCTGCTTATAAAAGAAAATCTTCCTTAATGTTAGAATTAAGAAGGCCAAACACATCTCTTGAAGAATGTGTCTGGCCTTCTGATCCATGCTCCTCTTGCCAAGGAAAGACCTTCAGCCGACCCTGTCTAGATGTCCTCACCAAACAATATTAGGTAAGGCAATCTCTTAACAGGAAAGTTTTTGATCATAGACTGTTATTTGCCCATAATCCTTCTAAACCTTAATATTCTTAAATAGATAGTTTTGAAAAAGCGCAGCAAAAAGAATGAAGCTAGGCTCAGTAGATATGTAATCTTTCATTTCTGTTTCCTATTAGTAGATTAATGTGTGGGAGAGTTATTACACTCGAAGGGCAGGGAGATTGTAATCTGGGCATCTTTTTCTTCTTTCATTACTTATTTAGAGTTGATGGGTATAGGAAACTAGATAGTGCTAAAATGCATTTTCTTCTTTACTCCTGGCTTTTCCATACCCTATAAGTTTGTTCCTCTTTCTACACAGGTTTCTAGATCAAGGTGATACTGGATACATACCTATCACGTATTCCATTTTGGGATAAACAATGTAGGGAAAGTGCAGAAAAGGGTAAAAAAAAAAATACTAAGCCAAAGAAATTAAAGATCTGAGATAAGAAAAAGAAACATAGCATAATCTAATTTACACCAACACATTCACTATATATCTCATTATACTTCCCTGTCCTTTCAAACTGTCATTGTTTGCAGCATATCTATACTGCAACCACTTCATATTTTCTTCATTAACTTCTCACATTTTTCACTTTTCCCCTTCCTCTCAACCTATTTTGGAGTAGGATTCTCATTCATTCTCTCAGCATGACCAAACCACCTCAACATATTTCTTTTGTATTTCTTAGCTCATATCCATATGCATTTAGTTACTATTCATAGTTTATTCTTTCTCTCACTCACTCCCCCTCACTTCCTCTTCTTTGTTAATACTTTTTAAGTACATTTAAATTCATTTACATGCTTAGAATACATTTACAGCAAATACATTTCTTGTTATACAGTACATTCAGTTTATATTTATGTTTTTCCGGATATATCCAGCTCTTATTTTTATTTAATGTACTGGAAGAAGTATATTGTCATACAGTGCCATTTTCACTCTTTTTGATAAACAATCATTCATCATAACAGACCACATATTACCCACCACAACTTTACCAATATTTGTACTTTTTAAATTTCTCATTAATAATATCTTTAATAATCATTTCACCAAGATATAGGCATTCATCTACTTGCTATAGTTTTCACCATTTATTTATAACGTGCTCACTCTATATTTTCTCTGTCAAGGACCAAGACATACCTTGATATTTTGTCAGTTTCACTATGTTATTTTAGTGTGTTTTGCAGTAAAGATGCCCTTGACCTGATTGACTTTTTTTGTTGCTCATATTTATCTTTCTTGCAATATATTAATCATTAGTCACACTTCTCCCGAGAAGCAATTTGCATTCTTAATCGATTGCCACTTAACCAGAAAATTTTTTATTACAACAAAATTTCTTCTGATGGAAAAATATTTTTTTGTCTCATAGTGAAAATATGATGCAAAACTTGACCCTGTGTTTTTTGTTTCTATTATTATCTCATTGCTTTTAAAATCTTATTCTGGGAGATGGTCCACCTTGGAAGATAGAGATCAAACAATTGGTCTATCTAACTCAGTGCTATGTGCACTGGGTATCAGAATCTCTTTAGAAATTATACTTCAATACATTTTAGATTTTATTTTCAAACAGATACTATAATAGAACTTTAACATTTTTTAAAATTTAAGTCATTTAACTTTAAAAAATAAAATCAATTTTAAAATGTTTTAATATTAATATACTGTTAACTGGGAATTCATGTCACATTCTTGTGTTTAATACTAACAAATGTAATTTATGGATGATCTATCAGATGAAAAGTAATAAATTAATAAATAAAAAGCAGCACCTTTACAGCTGGATGCCTAGTGAATTCCACAACTAAAGGATAAGAATGATTCAGTTCAAAGAATTATTAAGCTATGAATAAACCCATGGCCAAGTGTCTTTGCTTCTATAGAAACTTTGAATTTAGTTTTCTTGAGATTTTGGACAATGATTTAATGAAAGATCACATAAAATATTTGTTTACATTCCACATAATCACTGATTTTACCAATAGAATGTGTAGCAAGATTAGTAAAGGTTGGTATCTTGAGATGTTAGAGATCCATACTACCATTTAAGTTAAGCAGCACTATACTAATTGAAAGGCAAATATAAATCCTAATATAACTAGCTTACTGTTCTCTATAATCCTAAACATATTTAAAACTGAAAGCAGATAGCATTTGCAATCATTAATGCTAATTTGGGAACAAAATATGGAATAACAAGAAGGAAGGCTAGGATTTTTCAGAGATACAAGTACAGTATGTGCGGAGTAATGTATGCAGAATAATGTATCATAAGTCCCCCCATATCCAAACTCCAAATCTTCAGTCAAGGCAGTGTAGAAGAAGACCAGGCTGAACCCAAGGGAGGGGTCAAACGTGTCATAAGTCATGAATACCTGCAGGCCCCCAAGAGATCTATGTCCAGCCTACCTTGAATGCCTTTCTTATCTCCCGTTCATTTCCCTTGACTGCCAGTTGGTCAGATTCTTGTAAAGAGCTTAAGTTTGGCAATAAATCTTTATACTGATTTGAACAGCCTTGACAGGCAGAGATCAAAGATTCCACCTTCCCACTTTTCATAAAAAAGCCCCCAGGGAACTGATGCATTTCTGAAATGGGAACATTTGAAAATCTGTTTTGTTTTCTTTGTGTCTTCTCAGAGTTACTCTTGTGGAAAATATTCCTGAAGGCATAAACTATTCAGACAGTGCACCATCCCATTTGTCTCTTTTCCAGGGATGGATGAATTTACTTAATATGGCTAAAGCATCTGTTGACATAGTATCTTCCCAATGGAACCTCAGTCACAGTCATCCAACTCCATGGCAGGTAAATTTTTAAAATTTTTCAAGTCTAATTGTCTGCTTGGTGTACATTTTACAATTCATTCTTGCCTGTGTCTGAATCCTTCAGGGTTTATTTATATAAGAAAATAATTACTGGTTATTCTCATTGTGAGATTGAAGCAATTGCCTGTAGAATAGTCTTTCAGAGTAACTAATAATATTTCATATCATATAAGTTTAATACTGAAAACAGTGATATCAGATTATAAAGAGTTTCCTAACTTGATCATGGGCTTTTTCATGTTTTATTATAATGATATTTTTCATATGCATTTAGAGAGAAAATAAAGTTCTTTTTAAAGACATCTCTTTCAAAATTACTAAATTAGTTTACATACTCTAATAAACTATCCTGACACTTTCTCAGATTGCAAAGATGCCAGTTGGATTCTGGGAATTGTTATTTAATGAGGATGAGAAGGTTGCAATAAAGGATAAATAATACCCATTTTCTCAGTGAAATTCCTTTCTGTTTGTTCTTTAGTAATATGTTAGTTTATCACAGCAATTTTAAACAGTCTTATTTTTTCCTATATTTAGAACAAAAAGTATTTCTAACATAACGCAAATGTGATTTTTGTGTGGTTTGTGAAGTCTCATAGTAATGAGAAGGAAATTTTATTGTCTACATTGTTTATTTTTATAAAAACATCAATACCATTTATGAAAAATTATATTTGATGAATTAGTCTCAAGTTAAGGCTATAAGCAATGTAATTAATATTTTTTAAATATAAGACCACAAATTGGTTAAAGTAGGATGTCCCTGCTCCATAATTCAAAATTCCTGTAAATTACAAATATCCAGGGCTTTTTTTCTCATAGAACGCCCAGAACGGAGTTCCGGCACCTTTTTTGGATGGAACCTTGTAGGGTAGGCAAGGCGGGTTGTATGACGTGTGTGAGTTCCGGCATCTTTTTTTTTTTTTTTTTTAGAAAAAAAGTACTGCAAATATCTATCTAAAATTGTTCAGGTGTCTATCAGATATTCAGTATGATTGTTTGTTTTAAAATACTGTATTTACAGCCTATCTAATCCAAATGGACTGAGGAATTTGGAAGGTTTAGACTCTTCCAAAACACTTTCCAATATAATAAGTGATTTAGAGGTTTAGGAGTTGCTAATAATTCAGATTTGAACTGTGAAGTCAAAAGATGTTTTAATTGAATGTTTGTTTATTCCACACTCTGGCATTTAGCATATTAATATATTTATAAGGAATTAAGATGATTCCAAACATTAGTACTACTTTTTGCTCTAACACTCTTAAGAAGGATTTACCTGCAATTTTTAAATGAATATAGTTCCAGTTTGTCAGTTTTTCATATAAACAGAGAATGAACTATCACAAAATAAGCCAAACAGGCCTTGAAAAAAAAATCAGTTTTTGCAACCTTTGCTGTTGCAAAAACTGAATTTTTGGTAAAAGAACAACCAAGCCCCTGCCGAAATATTGGCGAGATCAAGTGTTAACATTATAGCTATGCACATAATGGTTTTCGAGAAAGATCATTTAGATTCCATTTAAATAGTTCTCAATTCATACCCCAGGGTGAAAGATGGACATCTAGAAAGCTAAATCTTCTTTGTACAGAAATTGCGATTTAAATAGAAAAAAATATCTCAGTATCTATCCATCCCAAACTAAGGGATCTCTCTTTGTATCTGTGTATAAATCTAGAATTATATTCATTTAATAGCAATTATTCTTCCCCATAAGTTCATGGGAATTTCAGTCATGTATTTATATCAGCAACTCAGTTAACAACCGTCTTGCCTAGCAATGGAAATTTGGGGTTTAGCTGTGTTCATAAGACAAGGACCACCTGTACAAGCTTGTTCCACTTGTGTGTGTTGCATTGTATATTATGGCTGTGTCTAGAATTACAGACAGTGTTTCTCTAGAGTCAGATGGCTTCCAAACACAATGTCACTATGTTTTGTTGGGGGAAAGCCTGCTTCTCCTCACCACGGCCTTAAGAACTTATAGGCATGCTCAAAAAAATGTAATTGTATCATATCAAAGCTTTTTCTGGATTCAGTAGAGGGACCACCACCAAATTCAAGTTTCTGTCTATGCATTTTCTAAAATGCTGATTAGCAGCTTAACGTAATCAGAAGCTTGCAATGTTATCATACCTTGCAATTTTTAAAAAAAGTCAGAGTACATAAGATGAATTTTAGAAGTAATATAGTTTGCGATCTCCATGCCAAACTGCCATACTGTCAAAATTTAGCATGTAATTGCTTTTCAAAATTGCTCACTGATTTTTCTGATAGTATAAAGGCTTCCAATCATTTTAACTTTTTGGCTTAAAATTTGACATCTTGCACAGAGTTCTTATTGAAGGGGAATGTAAGATAGCATTCTGCTTGTTATTATCTTCCTGACTTTGTAAACTTCAAATCCTTTCCCCAAACAATAGTTTTAAAGTCTTATAAAAGCACTATCACATAACACAGTATATTTTACACACATAGATACAATGACATTGATTTTTATAAAAAAATAATGTTTATTAAAAATTATTTCATAGATTAAACATGAATTAGTATAAAGATTAAAGAACAGAAAAAATGAGGTGAAGTGAAAAAGTAAGAAAAGCATGAAAGAAAATATAGACAAAGAAAAAAATTACATCACCATTCTTTTCTTCCCATAATCAACCTTTTTAATCAGCAAATCCATACACAATCAATTCATTTTTTTTCATTTTCAGCAAAAATCCATAAAAGATTTCCAGTGTTTAATAAAAAATATAATTATCATATCCCTAATTCAGTCAATTTTGCCATTTACACATGTTCCATCATCTTTACAATCCATTCTTTCATTGTAGAGATTTCAGTATTTTTCTGGTATTCTGCATACAGTAGCCTTATTGCAATTACCATATACTAAACCAATCTTCCATAAGTCTTTTCTAATTGGTTATCCATAAATCCCAGTATACATTATTCTGGTTTCATTTGAATGTGAGTCTTTAGAATTCATTGCATCATTATATTTATTTGTATCCAATATTTTTTGCTTTTCACAAATCTACCATGCATGTTAAAATGATTCTTCATATTTTCCACATTTCCAATGGTGATTAAAGGTATTTTTATACATCTTAACTTATTTCTCTGGTGTCATATACCAACGGTACATCATTTAGTAAAAATTCCCTCTTAAATTGTAACACAATGTGACTTTCAGTCCTTTTAATTATTTTATCCCAGTTGATCCATCTCTATATATTATAAGCAAAATTCTTAGCTCATTTTACCATGCACTGGGGAACACAGTGGCTCACATGGTTAGGCTGATGATCTGACAATCGGCAGGCTCGTATTTGAGACCCGGTTGCTGTCATGTGGCGGGGTGAGTTCCTATCACTCCCTCCAGCTTCTGCTGACTCAACAATTTGAAAACGGACTGTAGTAGATAGATGGGTAAGACTTCAGTGAGCAACCTAATAGGAACATGAAAGAATCCCATTTGGGCATCCCCTAAGGGAAGGTGATGTTACTGGTTGATCCTTTCATCACAGAAGCTCTTTGGTGCTTCTGATACAGAAGTATAGTATCATGCTCCGTTTAACTTTCTCTTCTTCCATTTCAAATCTTAGCAAAAGTTTATACATTTCATATTTGTCATTTGTACACAATTCAGTTTCACAGTCCATTTTATCCTTTTTCAATTCCCAATTATCTTTTTATCTATATTAAATCTCTTTTTAAATGTGCATATCAAAGCCATTCAAAAATAAATTCCTCTGTAGTCCACTGTTCTTCTGACTTCATTTTACGCTTTCCAGGTTTCATAAACACATTGTTTTTATATATAATGTAATCCCTGCTGATCACACTGGTCCCTTCCTTTAAATCAGTGTTTCTCAACCTTGACAATTTTAAGGCATGTGGACTTCAACTCCCAGAATTCCACAGCCAGCATTGCTGGCTGTGGAATTCTGGGAGTTGAAGTCCACATGCCTTAAAATTGTCAAGGTTGAGAAACACTGCTTTAAATGCTGCCATCTCGTAGGACTTAGGAAGTGTGCCTTTTCTATGGCAACCTCTGTTCTATGGAGACTCTTCCCCCTAAGGTCTAGAACAGTGGTTCTCAACCTGTGGGTCGGGACCCCATTTGGAGTCGATCGACCATTTCACGGGGCTCGCCAAGCAAGGCTGTCCGCCATTTTTTTGTCCATTTTTTTTGTCCGCCATTTTTTCCCCTTTTCTGGCGGGTGCCTTACCTCCCTTGGGCTGGGCCAGCTGGTGGTCGGCCTGCTCCGTCTCTGCCGCTTGCCAGCTACGCCTCGACCGGCGCAGGGGGCGGAACCACGCATGCACGGCGCTCCCAGGCAGGGAAAGTCCTCAACTTACGACCGGTTGTGTAGTCCTCGACTTACGACCGGTTAGTCCTCGACTTACGACCGGTTTAGTCCTCAACTTACGACTGGTTTAGTCCTCGACTTACGACCGGTTGGGGTCGCGGCATTAAAAAGGTTGAAAACCACTGGTCTAGAAGCTCCCCACCTCCTTAATCTTTTGAAAAGCACTTACGACAGGGGTGTCAAACTGCCGGTCCGCAGGCCAGACGCATCATCCAGAAGCCGCGCCCACCCCATTGCCAGCAATGGCAAAACTGTCCCGATACATTGCGCGATGTCACGTGACATCGCTAGTTTGACATGTCTGACTTAAGATCTAGGTTTACCACCAACTGCTGAGGTTGGCATGGAATAAACTTGTGGGATACATGGGAAGGTTTAATTGTAGCATCTAGCCCTTTCTGTTTTAATTCCATTTTTATATATTGTTTTATTTTGGGCTTGTGAACTGTCCGAAGTTTGGTTTAAAATGGGTGACGATATCAATGTTTTACATAAGTAAATAAATAAATCTTTTCCTTATAGGGGCAACACATTTTTGAAAAATTGGAAGAATTATTGTCCCAAAATATTGAAATAAAATTAGTGAGTGATATTCTTCACAAGAAGTCCAAATTATTAATTGACTTGGAAAAAAAGGGTAAGGGCATGAACTTTATTTTGTCTTATTATAGTGATAAAGCTATATTGTTTACATCACACATATGGGTTGTTTATATGGTATGCAAAATCATTGCTGGATTATATCTTATAAAGTCAAGCATTTTAATTTTCATTGAGTTTTGTGGAAAATGATTGAACACGATTAAATATTTTGTATTGCATAAATAGTTTCACTTTGATCAAATTATGCCAATTCATATTAAAAACCGAAAGCACTGTTGCTGGATGTATAAATATTCAAAATAATGCTGATAGTAAACAAAGAACAAACTTACAAATGCACTCATTTTTTTTCTGCAATGCCCTCATTGGCATCAGGTTCCCTCATTGGCGTCAGGTATATGATATATACTTTTATGGTGTCTCTCCGTGTTACTTATTTTTGAATCATGATGATTTTAAAACAGAGCACAATCAAGTCAGAATGGAAATATACTTTATAAACCTTATACTTTAATATGGTACACTCTGAGAGGAGACATTCATAATACAATTTCGTATTAATAAGTTTTAAACAAATAATTGAAATTAAGTTCTCTGCATATTGGAAAATAAAAATCTGTTAGTATGATAAGAGAACCCGAACATTTTTCTGTCCCTGAGATACAGCAAATAATAATATATTAGTCATACAAAATGTATAAATAAAATGTAACTGTTCATTACAGAATCCAAATATAGATTTAAATCCATTATATGGATTTCAGATTTTTTTTTGCCAATTTGATACATATGATGATGTGCGTTCTATGGACTGCTGTATTTATTTGTCAAATAATAAAATTTCATGTTGTGATTGACGAATAATGAAGTAAAATTGGATACTCACCATTTACAATACAATTTATTAATTATTTTATTGGTAAAGTATACATTACTGAACACCTAGAAATTTGTAATGTTTAACAAACCAGTTTTTTTCTGAAATAAAAACATTTTGAGCCAAACAAATCAAAGCTATACATTTATTTTGTTTAAAGAAAAAGTATTTCATTTGTCTGTATTATTATTAAATTTAGAAACTACACAAAAATCTTGATAGGTAAAATTGTTCCTGGCACTATAAGCACTATAATTTTTCCTTTGTCCCATGTATTTATTTTTCAATATTTTACAATTGCTATTTTACAATTGCTATTGTAACAAATATAATTACTTAAAAATGCAAGGCTAGCAAGGAGGACATTGTTGGAATTTGCCTAAATTATAATCTGTTTTATGGAGAAGTTTTAAGTTTATTAATGTGAAAAATAATGTGTAAGCAGTTTAAACTTTCCATAATTTTAAATCAGGTGTAGATTTCTCCTTCTAATAACCTATCTCAGTTCTTCATACTACATTTATAGAAATGCAGAAATACCGCAGTTATCTCTCTATATCTTTACCGTTACTATTTTAATAGGGTTTTTATGCTTTTATGTAACTTATAATTTACTCTCATCATTTACTGTGTCCATGTCAGGCACTAAAAGGGTCTACTGTGTTACCTAGTGAAGATACACATTCATCAACATTCAACTCACCAATACTTTAAACCATTATCGTGTCAACATTCAATTATTCAAGATGCTCTATGGGAATGTAAGCTAATTTTTGTACAAAGTTTCATTAACCAAATATTACAGGGAGAGAAACAAGTTCAGGGCTTTTATTATTAGCAAATATTCTGAAACCTAAGATTAGATGCACTGCATCTATTTGGGAGGGGGAAGTAAACATGTTTTTTTTTAAAAAAAAAAAAAAGAAAAGAAAAAAACCTCCCATTCTAGAACTTCTTTGTAATTCACATCAAAATCAGGCTCATTTTCTCATTCACTTTGCAGGGAGGTGTGAAGCCAGATGCTGTGATGAGATGGCCAACAGAATGGTGGTAAGTTATCCTAGAATGAGAAAATAATGTGAAAATTTAGACATGTATAAATAAAAGAAAAAGAAATTTGAAAAAGAAAAATGGGAAAAATCTCCCTTAAGTTCCCATGGAGCTTCTATATTTGAATGTTGACGCTTGTGGGTTCAGTGTGATCCAGTGAATTGTATTTATAGTTGGATGTAAACTTTGATCTTACTCCCAGGTCTTTCATAGACTTGTTAGCTGATCTGGAACCATTAAGTCCTATTCAAATGAACAAGCAGCATGAAACCTACCTGAGACTACATTATAGTAGTGGGCTTTTCATGCATACAGTCATTTTATTACATGTTGCTTCTGTACAAAAGTTTTCTCTATCCTTTTACCAAGTGCCAGTAAGAGTATTTCAAATTTGCAGATCCACATGATGAGTTCTTGAGCACAAATGTAAGGCATAGAGAAGGTAGGCCCTCCAGATTCTATTTCAAACTATCTTTATCTTGCTTCTTCAGTTGTATCTGAAATGGGGAAGGGTAAAAGAGAAATTCCAAATTATTTAGCAAGTCTATTCAAATATATCACACAGCACCATTCACTTAGACCATTTATAGGATACTCCGTTAAATGTGTCATAAAATTGGGAAGCTGTGACATCTATTGGACAAGAGGTTTGCAGACCAGACTTCCACTCTTTAGGAGGTAATTCAGAAACACATTTAATGTGAGAAGGAACACTCTGTTAGACAAAACGAACAATAACAGTGAATAAAAGCAGTAAATGATGGAAGTAAACTTCCTCTCGATTAAATGGAATGCTTCACCATAGAACAAGAAGTAATGTGTGTGATAATACCTATGTGTGATTTAGGCATTTATGGACAAACACATAATGGAATAATTGTGGTGACATTACAGGCATGTTAGTTGGGAATGTGAATGTCTGTGTAGAATACTTTTGTATGCAAAGGATGCCCAAACAAATTGCAGCAGATTTAAGATAAATTATATGAGACCATGAAGAGTATGGCCCAGAGATTAATGCTTCAGATAATCAATTGTATTTAACAGGAAAATGGAGTGACTCACTGTATATGTTATGTATAAATGTGAGGGGCTAAAGCAAGTAGATGAATTTCTGTTCTTTAGGACAGTGTTTACTCAAGACTAGAAGATGAATAGATAAGCTTTTAAGACATAGTGGCGAATATCTGTAGTTCGATTGTAGGATGAAGGTGAAGGTTCATTCTCCGAGCTTGTGGGTTGGTTTCCAAATGTTTTGTTACCAAGCTAGGTAACATCTTCAGCGGTATTTAGTGGTTGTCTGTGTCAGTGTTCTACTTATATATTTTAAGACATGCAGATGCTGGTAGAAAACAGGGCATAAGTTGCCTGTTGTAAGGTATCTGTATCAAGATGTAGTGAATTATAGTGTATGCTAGATTTTTTAATACTTCTTGTACATTTCTTATGTCATGCCTTAATTCTTGTGGCTTCCTAATTCTTGCTCCATTTCTGCACTGTGAAAATTCTGCTTATTGGCGCAGAATGATGTATGTATGTTAATCAGAGGTGGGTGATCACCATAAAGGATGAAGGGAAAAAAAAAACACATACCATGCAAATTTTAAGTCTAAACTGGGAAGTATATTATATATGTGAGAGATAAAGATATATTATGGAGCTTTATTTCACAGTAGGACTTGCCATATTCATCTTTGAGCATAAATACTTGCAAAATGCTTATTAGACTATGTGACAATAATATAAAGCACAAACTATACTTAGAATAATGAGGTAGATAAAGGAAACTTGGTACACAAGAAAGAATATAGAAAACATTAATTTTCCTATGATTGCAGAGATATACTGTACTATGGTGCTGGAAAGTAGGTTAATATTAGAAAATGTAACTTGCTAATACTCAAATATATGAACAATGTAAATTAACCTATATGAATAGTTGAGGAGAAATACAGAATCCATTTTAAGAAAATTGTATTTCACTATGCAGCAATTAAATAAATCCAAGCAATTGGAATACTTTCTTCAATCATGGTACCTAATAATTTATGTGCTTACTTTATACCCATCCCTAATAGCAATTATTATGAAGAGATAATCAATTAAGGCAGAAAGTAGTAATTCCTCTTCAAAACTGAAGCAGTCCCAGAAAGTGAAGACTGTTGTGAAATGAGTCCCCCCCAAAAGCCTTTCCTTGCTGGGACAACAAAGCTATAAATCTGTTTATACTTCTGAACCTTTCAGTATGTCTGTCAGTTCTAGAAGTTTAATGGTAGAAGTCTCTCAGTTCAGTGAGGTTCTACCCTGTACATGAATAGATACAGTACATTAAATTATTAAATGAGGGCATCCAGGATCTTGAGTGTTATACAGAAAATCTATATATAATAAAACTTCCTGTGTAGAATTTTACACTGGGAGAGCTTCATGAAAACAGGATTCTTGCACTAATAAAATCCCAGATTATATTGGAGCTTTAGCATGTTCAGTTTATCAGGTGAAGGCCTCTTTCCTTTAAGTATTAACACTACTATATACTGACATTTGGGAAGAGGAGAAATGGCATGAATGCAGCTACCATATTGACTTTATAGAATTATAATGTCTTAAGAAGGCTTATTTCTCAGTTTAATGTTAAATTGGATGAGGACTAGTTAAGGTGAGTGCATTGCAAAACAAGCGGACTTTGCAACTAAGTGATATAAATGCTGAGAAAAACAGCAACAACCATATGTTTACACACAAACACACACACACACACACACAAATGGCATTTACATATAAGAATATATGAAATAGTACAAAAGAGAAGACTCTGGAGTTCTATTTGTGTGTTGGGTTAAGTAATTACACCTATTTGACTTGGCCATTGGACAACAAACAGAATCAATGAAAAAGAGAAAAAATACTGAATGTATACTTCGTAATAATATATATGTTATTATAAAGAGTGACCTCCTGAAGCATATGCATTATATTTCATAAAGAAAAGAACAGTGATTGTGTTAAACAGTAAAGATACTGAAGGCAAATCGGAAATAGTATAGAATTTCCTGCCTGAGCAAGGGGTTGGACTAGAAGACCTTCAGGGTTCGGTTCTGTTGTGTCCTGAGCCTGCAAAAGCAGGCTCGGGACGTTGCATTGGTCCCGGGCATTCCAAAAGCTGCCCGGGACCAGACAGAGTGGCGCCGGCCTTGTGTGCATGCGCAAGGTGCGAAACGCTCTGTTCCTATTGGTTGACACTGTACGGGCTTCTGGCCATATAAAAAGGCCTGCGTGCCTTTTGCTTTTGCTCGGTTGTTGTGGAAGAGAATAAAGCGTTTTGTTTAACATCGCCATGTGTCTTCATTACTCGCTCGCGAACGAAGTACACAACAGGTTCAGTTCTGAAAATGTGGCATTTTGTGTTTGTGTGTGTGCAGAAAAGAAAAGAAAAGTTAGAGGGAGAAAGAATTATTCAGTTATTACTAAATGAGAAAGCAGTGACGAGAGACAGACAAGGAAGGAAACAGTCTGTTTTTTTAAAAAAAATAGAATGTAACTCTTACTAGAAATTAAACTATTTTAAGTACCATAGTCTTGGATAACATAAAAATAATTTTCAGTTTAAAAATTGGATGTTAGGGTTGTTAATATGAGCATTCTTCTATTTTTATACTTAACCTATTTGAGTGCAAAGATTTTGCATTAATGGAATCTCTGGAACATCTCCAGGCCTTTGACAAAAGTGCTGAAAGGGTAGCTTGAAATGTCTGGAGATATGATCTTTTGCCTCTGAGCCACTGGAACATATCCAGTATAAAGAGGCTCTTCTAAATGCAGTTAATCTCTTTTTAAAATAATTTGTCTCCTAAAGACAGTTAAAAAAGAATGAATTCTTTTTCTCTGAGAAATGTCATTTATACTTAAGACATCTCACTGTCTTTTTTAGAAAGTTTCTTTGAAATTAATGATACAAAACTACCAATTAAATATAATTTGGGATCAAATTATACAAAGTATACAAACTTTACTGCATTGAATTATTTGTCTCTATTGAATTTTTTCTTCCTTCTAAAATAATACATTAAAAAGAAAGTAATACTTGTGCATCTCACAGAGTTTTCATTCTGATTTAATTTTTAAATGTTCTTTTTATTACAACTAAGGCCAGGTGTGAGCTGTCTATGATCTCCAGCCCTATTTTATTTCAGCCCCCAGTGGAGCCAAAATAAAGAAATAATCCACTAAACCTTAATCCTCTTTAATATTTCAAAATGAACACCAGAAGATCTATTGGCCTATCAAAAGGTACAATTATTAATTAGTTGCACACACAAAACTGTTTCACCATCATACTTTGTCAGTTTTCTGGAAACCACATTTACAGCATACCTCAGCAGCATCAACCTATATTCTTAATCTCTAGAATTAAAATAATCCCAAGTATGTGTTAGTACATTGTATGTACCTTGTAGTGGGCAGGAAATAGGCAATTATTTTTTGGCTTGCTTGTTGATGTTCTTTAGAGATCCTAGCTAGCACAGATTGGCATACGCAACAGGAAATGCTGCAGGTGGCATGGATAGTAACCAATCTAGGAATTCTTTATCTTACTAAGAAAGGTTATTATTGGCTGGGAAGAGTCAATATTTGTGGGTCTATTTGGGGACACTCCTGGCACAGAAGATTCCAACATGGAATGTAGAGTCATGATCAACAAAGAAATGAAAAAAGAAAGATATTTTGGATGTCTGAAGGGGAAATAATTGTCTGGCTGTTTGTGAGTACTTTTTTGGATGATGCAAGTCTGAAGTAACATACTGAATTATTTCTGCTTGCATGTGCTTTTATTGAAGTCACTGCTGTGAGAAAAGGTGCTGTATAAATCATATAAATAAATAAATAAATAAATAAATACATACATACATACATACATACATATATACATACATACATACATACATGTATTTCAGTACACTGTTGAAGCTCTGACACCCCTTCCTCCCCAGTTGCATCTTTCTAGCCTGTACTTCTGGCTGTTTTACTAAAATAGTATCTTGTTATCTCCTCAGCCAGTTGCTTTACTCTTGAATGCTTTCCTTAGCAGAGAAAGGTGACAGTATGTGTTTTTCTGATTTTTTCCCCCTTTTTCTTGCCACCATTTAAGCTTTTTCTGTCCCAAGTTTTGAGATAAATTATATAGGTGCTTGCCACTGCAGTGCAATATCTAGTTTTTTTCTCTAGTTTTTCCAAGCCTCCCAAGTCCCATCCTTTGTAGATAGCCTCTGTTTCTCATCACTAAGTTGGAGAAGTGGACGGGACTATGTGGGAAGTTAGGTTCCTCCTCCACCTGCACACAATGTCACTGTTGGGTCAAGGGTAACTTCTGTCCTTGCCACCACACGGCATTACCACCAATCAGATAACTGGGCTAGTTTGGCTGGACTGCAGCAGCTTCTTTACAACTGAGCTTCTTAGCACTTTCTTTTTAGAATCTATGTATTTGCAAACTGAAATAGCACAGTTACAATTCTTCTGTCAATTCCACTCACTGCTGGCCAAAATAACCAGTCAGTTTCCTTTAACATCTTATAGCTGCTCTGCTGGCTTTCTTTCACGTGGAAGATCTGTCTGAATCAATTAAGCCTCGGTGCTCAACCCCAGATCATCTCCCTAGAGCTTTTAGTTCTTTCTCTCCCTGGGACTGAGTTACCCTAAATGAGGCTCCCAGACAGCAAGCTATGGATGCAACAAGAGCGGGAAAATAACTACATTTTGCTGCTCTAATTCTAATACTATCATTGATAATAAAGGCAGTGTTTAATTAGAGTCACTCTTCATCATCTTCTAGTAGCATTCTAAGTGTGTCAGCCTAGATGAAGCAGTTGGATAAGGCAAAAAAGAGGTGACACCCTGAACATTTGTTATGGGTGCATCATGACAGAAATGGGAGTGACATAAATGCTGCACTTGACTTCTGCTGGATTGCTCATGGCCATCAAGCTGCAATTACTCAATCTTGACCTGGTAGACATGCCTCTCTCCTTTAGAGGGATTTCAGGAACAATTGTATTACCTGGCAGGTAACATTCCATCATTCCATAATTTAAACAATGCTTTCTTCTATTAGTAAATATATTAAAAGTTCCAATATAGTTGACACTGATAGTGTTTTGTGCAGTTGCTTATTTTTATATGCATTGTGGCATTTTTTAAAAAAATGCATATTAGGAATATTTATTTTTGAGTTAAAATTCTCATTGAAAAGCTAGAGGTCTTTTCCTTTTAACGTATAACCAAAAACAAAAACACCATGGGTTTTCATTCATTTCATTCATTTTGGAGAGAACATAAATCATTTGCACTATATCAGGCTTCTAAAAATATAATCTATCTTGTGCTACATTCTAAAACCTTTGCTATAGTTATTTTTTCATTCTTTCTTCGTATGGAATGTAATATCTTTTTTTCCATTTAGCTATTTTTGGTCAGTTCCAAGACTCTGCTTAGTGTGCACTACTACAGTGTAGTATAGCAATGATATGATAAACTATTCTTTTGGATCAGTAGGGCCCTAGCTTTGTAGATCAAGATATTGGGCAGTTATTCCATCTTTTTCTTCATGGGCAGGTTTTTTTGTGGTAAGACAAAAACAGAGGAAAAAAGGGTTAGAAGTTGAAAGATGCTAGCTTTTGTAAATTCAAAAAATGTGACAAGACTATTGTGTGAGAAAAGCTTCATTTACAAGAATTCAAAGTGCTCTGTTTACCCTAGCATAATTTCCTTCCATGTGTCAGTCAATACTTAAATACTAACTCAAGGCCATCTTCATAATCAAAATGAATACAGTGAATTGAGAAACATTTTCTAGACACATTTTAATCTGTGAATGTTTGCAGATAGGTAATTATAATTCTATAACTTCTATCAAGTCTATTTTTAAAACATCTCTGGGACTACAACTTCAGCCTCAGATATTTTGAACTATGTCTTACTGGCTCTGTGATTTTAAGATTCTTATCATTACTGTTACTATTATTGTTATTGTTGTTATTATTATCTTTAAGAGAGGATGATTTAATTATATGTTCTAATTGTTGTATTTTATTTTGTTTAGGTGCAGAAGTGATATATGTAAATTTAACTGCTTATAATGATGGTCATTTGCAGTCATCATTCTGGATTGTGGATAAGCAACATGTGTACATTGGAAGTGCCAGTTTAGATTGGAGTTCATTGGGGCAGGTATTAATTCTTTAAACTGCAAAATAAAATCTTAAAAAAAACATAATTAACTTTCTTATGGAAGAAATATCATTAGCTTTTGTATATGTGGATCATTTATGTTATGGTTAATTATTTCACCTCGGAGTCCCTAGTGGATAATCACTTAAATATGAGCTAGCAGTGTGCTGCAGCTGCCAAAAAGGCCAACACAGTGCTGGGCTGCATTAACAGAGGGATAGAATCAAGATCACGTGGATGCAGTATTCCAAGTGTGGCCTTACCACTTTACAATGCCTTGGTAAGGCCACACTTGGAATACTGCATCCAGTTTTGGTCACCACGATGTAAAAAAGATGTTGAGACTCTAGAACAGTGGTGGCGAACCTATGGCACGGGTGCCAGAGGTGGCACTCGGAGCCCTCTCTGTGGGCACACGTGCTGTTGCCCCAGCCTTGCCTCCCCCATGCCCATCACCAGCAGCCCCCCTGGAGGAGAATCGCCCCCAAGCATGGCCCATGTGGAGCAGCACAGCCAAGGACATGGCAGCCAGGCAGCGTAGACAAGACTCTGCCCTCACGCCCCATCACACACAGTTGATGCTGCGGGGCGCAGGCAGAGGGCGTGGCTGCCATGGCGCTGCTGGGCTGCCTGGGCAATCTGTGGCGGGCCTTGGAGGCGGTGAGTGGCCCTGCGGGCAGGCGGGATGGGGGCGGGGCAGGGCTAGTTTTTGGGCACTCGGTCTCTAAAAGGTTCGCCATCACTGCTCTAGAAAGAGTACAGAGAAGAGCAACAAAGATGATCAGGGGACTGGAGGCTAAAGCATATAAAGAAAGGCTGCTGGAATTGGGCATGTCTAGTTTAATGAAGAGAAGGACGAGGGGGGACATGATAGCAGTATTCCAATATCTCAGGCGCTGCCACAAAGAAGAGGGAGTCAAGCTATTTTCCAAAGCACCTGAAGGCAGGACAAGAAGCAACGGATGGAAACTAATCAAGGAGAGAAGCAACCTAGAACTAAGGAAAAACTTCCTGACAGTTAGAACAATTAACTAGTGGAACAACCTGCCTCCAGAAGTGGTGAATGCTCCAACACTGGAAGTTTTTAAGAAGAGACTGGACAGCCATTTGTCTGAAATGGTATAGGGTTTCCTGCCTGAGCAGGGGGTTGGACTAGATGACCTCCAAGGTCCCTTCCAACTTTATTATTATTATTATGACTTAACTCCGTAAATTGGGCTGTTCTTAACAGAATCTTCTAAGATATCTATTAGATAAATAGTATGACAACTCTACAAGTACTACTAGCATTAGTAGCCTCAGTTTTAATTGCTCATGTGCCAATCTGTACATTATTCTCTCATGTATAACACCTTCAGAAGTTAGATCCTCAAGAGCGATATAAATTGGATACAAAGCATCTCTACTCTAATGGTCCTTCTATTTCTTCTTCATACTGCTGGTAGGAAATTATTTTAAAGAACCCTTCTACAATTAGTAATCTCTATGCAGAATAATTACTTTAGAGGGCAGTGCAGCAGGTCTATAGGTTTGGGATCAACAACTGACGATGTCATTCTCTAGGTGATCCAGCCTAATGCTTATGTCACTCTAGGTCTGCATGACATTTGGCAGATACTCACTTTTACACTACTATAAAATGCAATAGATTGGATGACATTTTTCCCCAACATCAATTTCCTAAGTAATTGATTGTTTGAAGCAACTCAGTTGCAAGTCCAAATGACACCGGAGACAAAGAGAGACAGAAATTCCGTGCAACGGAATCCTGACCTATTACATTACTGTTTTTCCTTTTTGCACCACAAATCACCAGGCAAGTCTGAAATACTATGAGTTGTTTCTGTGGGCAAAAGCACCATGTTTTCCCACATCTTCTCAATCACATGGGGAATGTATTAGGCTTGTGCAAGTTAGGCAGGCTTCTCTTCAGTATATCTCTGAAAGGCAAGATGATCTATCCCCTTGCGTATAGCAAAGCATCAGAGGCAACAAGTTCTAACTATTAAGGCGGTAGTAATTCAAATGGCTGCAATGCGGAAGATCACTGAAGGACCAGAAAAGTTAGTAAAATCTACAGCCATTCTAGATGGCTATATAAAAATGTCTCATCATGCTGAGCAGCTTCACATATCTGCTTTGGTGGAATGATTTGATTAAATGACTTTCAGATGAAATCACTACCTCTGTCAGGCTCCCATAAAGACAAACATGGTTAGTGATTGTATCTCACTGTATCTCAGGAAATAGAGCTACAACAGAAATTTAGTTTACAATTAAATCAGATTAGATCAGATTTTGAGCTTTCAGAAGAGGAGACTTGGATTTCATCTTCTCTAGTTGACTAGTAACGGTTTATATTCTCTGTATTCTTGATCTGCCATTCAGATACGTTTAGCAAACTAGACAGGAAATCACGAATTGAACTCTGATACTCTGGTAGCTAATCAATTTAGCCATGGTTTTGTTTCCGTGTGTACTTTGTGCTGTGTTTTATTTCTCAGACAAATTGTCAAATGCAAAAATGAGCTTTGGCTTTTAAAAATTTCAAAAAATGTTTAATCCAATGTATTTTCATTTATCTTACATCTATGCACTTTGTTGAGTCCATTACTTTTGATTTTGTTGCTGGCTTCTATTCTTTAGCAAGGCTGTAAAAAAATTCTTTTTTGCATGGTTTGCTACTCACTTGTTTTTGTAGCCCTGTTACCAAAAGAAACAAGGGGCAATTCTCATTGTTTCCTATAGGTCGGACCTGGGCATTTCATGGTCCGCAGGCCACAGCTGGCTTGCAGGCCATCCAGTCCAACTTACAGTGTCTGGTATCCGTGGTGTTGGGGTCTAGGGCATCAGCAGCAGTGGGGAGGGTGGGGCAGCATTGGCATGGTCTTGGCAGCAGGGGTGGGGTGTCTATATCAGCAGTCCTCTACAGCAGTTCCAGTTTTTCATGCAGCCCCTTGGGAAAATTAATTGCCCACCCCTGCTATAGATGAACAGTAAAAATATAGTTTTGACTCTAAAAGAGCAGATTACTGCTGTTGTTTCATAAGAGGGATAAACTCATGTTTCTAAAGAGCCTGCATAAGATATGAAAAGTACTTCTATATGTTATGAAATTTAGCTTCTTTTTCATAGTTGTAAAAAATAATAGTTATCAGAAATAATTCAATATGTGAATTAAAATTAGCCTAATTAATATATTCAGCTTCTGGAGGTATAAGATTGTAGTCATTTTTGCATATTTATTTAATATTGAAAGCAGTAGTGCATAATTTCAAACTTCAAAGCACCCTTGAGATGATGCATTGTACTCATATTTTGCTTAGCTCTTTCCCAATCATCTTGTCCCACCTGGAGGGATCAGAATCTAAGCTTTAGGACTGTCATGCATTGTTTTTCCTCTGGCACTAAGAGAAGCCTTCCTTGTAGGTTTGACATGCTAGCTGAGATTTATAGGAGTTAATGGAACATATGTGCAGTATGTGCAGGGCATCATGTTTGATACAGAATGAATGAAGTTGATGCTAGAAACATAGTATACTATGTTGACTTACAGATGTGAACCAAGAACATTTTTGTAAATGAATAATTTTCAAGTAATTGTAATGGAAAAGTGTTGTGCAATCATTTAATATTTATATTGTGTATTCACTGTATCTATGTTTATTATGCAACAATTTAAATTAAAATATAGAATAGGCATGTGCTAAGATATATATATATATATCTCAAAATAAGTAATAGACTTTGCAGCAAAAGAACATCTAATAATTGCATCAACCTGTCACTTGGAGCTCTTATAATAGACAATGTGCCTAGTAATACATACTTGATTTCACAGATGAAGGAGCTTGGTACCATCTTATACAACTGCAGTTGCCTGGTTTTAGATTTACAAAGGATATTTGCCTTGTACAGCTCCTTGAAATCCAAGAGCAAAGTTCCACCCACTTGGTCTAAAAGACTGTATGCCGTGTATGGCACTAAAAATAAACTGCCTCTTAAGTTGAATGAAACCAAGTCAGAAGTCTTTGTCTCAGTGAGTATTTTTGTTCTTGTTTTTAGATAAGTTTAAGCTGCTACTTGAGTTGCTTCCCCATAAAATCATATCCCTAACATACTCAATATCTGCAAACCCAATACTGCAATAAATTTTATTTATGTATCAAACTTCTTAACTACACATCTCCCTCTTAGATGACATTAAGATGAAAACATGGTTAGCAGCAAACAACATATTCCTGTAGTTAAGACTTGCGTCTTTATGTGTGAGAAGGAACATGACATGGGATGTCCTCAGAATCTATCTTCAGTGATTTCCTTTTGCTCAGAAAAAAATCTGGCAGCAATAAGGAATAAAAATGAATTTAATGAAGAAGATGTGCCTAAGATATGTCTTATTAATAAAGCAATGTTAGGAACTGTCTTGTGGTAATCCAGCAGCCCTCCTATGAAATCTTTTGGGCCTATGACAAGAGGAAGAAAATTGTGATCTTTGTTCTAGCAAAAAAGACATTAACCAAATCAAACACAGCTGTTACTGATAATTGTATTTGTAATGATAATTGAATAATACATCTTTCTCCTGCTCCTTCCTCTTTCCTTGCCTTTAAAATATTTCTTTCCTTACAGCAATAGATAGTTAAATTAGAAGATTTAGAAGCCAAGGTACTGTTACATTGATCAGGCTATTCAAGTCACTAATCAATCGTATTTTAGTCAATATAAAAACAACTGCTAAATCCTTTTTTTTGCAAAACAATCTTTCTTGGCTGCAGCCTAACAGTGTAATTTTCTCAATAGTATTTTATCTTATAATCCTAATATTGGCCATGCAGAAGAAGGAGAAGATGCTGGATACTATTGTGTGATACTGTTAGCTCAATAACAAAGGGAATAAATAGAAAATTCCCATAAATTTGTTGAAGATAGCCTGCAGTTGAAAGGAAAGATTCTATTTCAGCTTAGCCAAGGCACAGGTGAATCCCTCCAAATTTGTAACTCGGGTCCGACACATATCAAGGAATGTAATGAGATTCTGAAAGCTGCCCTGATGAACATCGATACATAATGTTTCTATTCCACTGATAACACTTGTTCTGTTACAGACATTGCTCAAGGACAAAAGCCATAGAATTATTTGACACCTAAGATCATTGTTGATTTGAAATTTCTTCCCTTCTTTAAAAGGGAAAGATGAATTTAAAGTATTTCTCTCTATGCAAACTCATGTGTATAATTATGATGCTCCATAATGCCTTATCCCAAGGCCTGGAAGAACAACCAATTTTTTTTTAGTAATTTCCTAAATGTCATACAGGTGGGAGCTAGGTGAATCTCTGGAGAGAATATTCCAGAGGGCAGGAGCTGCAACATAATAAATCTTGCACCATATATAAAGCATAATTAATAGAAAGTTGTCTTTTTTGCCTTATACCATACCATTAAATATTTTTGGCTAATGATATTGCTGAAGTCTTTTTTTAAATTTTTTAAATGTTTTTATTTATTTTTATTTTATTCTAATGTGAACTGCCTAGAATCTTTTGATTTGAATTAGAAATGAAATATATAACACAAGAACCCTTCTGGTCACACAAATGGAATTCTCTTCACTTTTTTTTATTCCAGCCCCTCCAGCATTTGCTTTGGAGTATCCCCAATTTATCCACAGAAAATTATAAATTTTGTAGTTGCAAACATATATTTTTAATTATATTCAAGACTCCATTAGAGCTAATGATGGATTTTGCAACTACATGATTTAAATAACTTCTGCATTATTTTTTTTAACACAGAATAGTTATGAATTCAAATAACACCTTTATTAGAGAATCAGAGATAACTATTATATTCTGCTTTTCAGAACAGAAATATACAGCATATACTGTAACATAAAATGTATTGATAAGACATCATGATAAACACTATCAAAATATTAAAAGTTATACAAGCCATCTTGTTACAGGTATAAGTACAATGGTTTTATAATTCTGCACAAAAAACTGAAATATCTACTATATTTTTAAATATGTTTTTAAACTTCTCTCCACAGAATTCTCCAAAGCTCCTATGCCCTAAAGACAGGACTCTGGATACTGATGCAATCTATAGTGTGGTAGATAATGCTGAACACTTTATATACATAGCTGTTATGGACTATCTGCCTATTGTTAATATAATAAATGAGACAAGGTGAGTAGACACCAGAAATATTCATTATGTATTGTTATATTAATATAAATATATTTTCTGAGAACAGCATTTCGTAAGAACTCTCTTTTCCAGTTTAGCACATTCAGAAGCTTATGTTGTAGAGCAATTAAAATGTTAGGACTAAGATAGAGGAGAACTAATTTCAAACCTTCCCTCAAGCATTCAAATTGGAATGCTTACTTCACAGTTTTTTGCAAGAATAGAATGAAAGAACATCTCCTTATGTATTCCCTGGGATTCCTAGGGGAAATACAAGATATAAATCTAACAAATAAATAATATATCCAAATAGTACTTGGACTTCTGTTTCCAGAATTCCTATGGTACTTGTTGGCTGGAAACTGTGGAGGGTGTAAGTCCCACCAAAACTAAAAGGGAGCAAACCTGCAAAGATAGGTTTAAAGATTTTGCAGATTTTGTCGAGCATGTCTGAGATTCAGCCACTAATCCTGCAAATGCATTTTCTTTCTTTGCAGTTTTATAGCTAGTATATTTCATTATTTTGTTAAGCAATAAATTGTGTACTATCAAAAATGTAGTTTATTTCCTAATTTTCCAACTTCATGTTTATTTTTAATACATCCTTTATTCAGATTAGTTATCACACATTATGTTTTCAATGGGAAAATATATAACTTGATTTCTTAATATAACCTGTCAATTAGAAGTGACTTCTAGCAGGACCACTGTTTTCTTATGTACACATAAAATCCTAAGGAAAAAGCAATCTAACCTGCCCCCCATAGCCCCAAGTCAGTATAACCACGAGAAGTTCTATTTTTTCTATGCAAGAAAAAGTAAAGAAACTACACCACAACTCTCAATTCTAAAAGTCCTAATAAATGTGATAAGATGCTGTTCGGCTTGACCCGTTGACTAATACTATTCAAAATTGTGAGTGAAAAAAGATTAAAAATACCATATCATATTACCAGACTGATCACAGAAAGTTCTCCTACAACACTCTATTTTAACTAACACAATATTTACAGACCTGAATCATTATCACCTTCCTAACTCTACCTTTCTCCATTCTTGGACTTCTACTTCATTGTCTAGCCCAGGGTCTTCAAACTTGGCCCTTTTATGACTTGTGGACTTCAACTCCCAGAATTCCTTAGCAAGCGTGCCTGGCTGAGGAATTCTGGGAGTTGAAGTCCACAAGTCATAAAAGGGCCAAGTTTGAAGATCCCTGGTCTAGCCATACAGTTTGACCTTGATGAAGGTCCTACATAAGGTAAGAGCTACCTATTTCTTGGCTTTCGGGAATTTCAATGTGAGAAATTGTATGAGAGTCATGGTACTTCAGAATTCCTTGGTTAGAGTTTTGTTTTTGTTTTTACATCACAAATCCTGGCTTTTCATTTAAAAAAAATGAATAACATAGGTTGCTTTTTTTTTATAGGTACTGGCCTTTTTTGGATGGAAAGATCAGAGAAGCACTGATTCTACGTAATATTAAAGTGCGACTCCTTATAAGTTTCTCCAAAGAAACAAATCCCCTCACTTTTAACTTTATTTCATCTCTTAAAGCAATTTGCACTGACGTTTCTGACTGTAGTTTAAAAGTTGTAAGTATTCCTCGTGTTGTTTGTTTACATAGCTAAAACAATATTCTAGTACATTTCTTCAGCAATCATGTTGAATCTCAGTCATATGAATTCCAATGTAAATCCACAGCAAAATAAAACATGGTCTTCTTTCCTCTTAATAATGGAAAGCTAGGGTCATTATTTCAAGTTTCCTTATCGTTCTCACTGCCCATTCTCTGCTCAAATTGTGTTTGGTTCTCCTCTTGCCAGTTAAGCATGGTTGCGGTTTTGGTATATGTTGATTCTTTGATTCTATGAATCTTTCATAATTTTCTTCATAATATGAGTGCAGAAGCCTTCTCAGAATGTTGTTTTCTCTTCACCTAAAATTCAAAGAGTTGTTCAAATGTATTGTTCAGTAATATGATTCCTCTTCTCCTATAGCAAAGTCCTAAAAAGAACTATTGTAACTTTTCCCCCCTTGAGTACAGTACAGCTTTCTCTTTTATTTTAAACAGGAAGGCTTTGATTCTTTTTAAATTAATTTAAACTATAAACTATAGTTATGTCCAGTCTCAGACAAACTGGGTTAGGTTTTCAATGTAATTTAGGAAAAATATTTGTGGTTTAGGAAATTGCTTACTTCTCTAATCCATAATAATAATAATGATAATGATAATGATAATTATAATGATGATGATGACGATGATAATAATAATAATAATAATAATAATAATAATAATAATAATAATAATAATAATAATAATAATAATAATAATAATAAAGTTGGAAGGGACCTTGGAAGTCATCTAGTCCAGCCCCCTGCTCAGGCAGGAAACCCTATACCATTACAGACAAATGGCTGTCCAGTCTCTTCTTAAAAACGTCTAGTGTTGGAGCATTTACTACTTCAGGAGGCAGGTTGTTCCACTGATTAATTGTTCTAATTGTCAGGAAGTTTCTCCTTAGTTCTAGATTGCTTCTCTCCTTGATTAGTTTCCATCTGTTGCTTCTTGTCCTGCCTTCAGGCTCTTTGGAGAATAGCTTCACTCCCTCTTCTTTGTGGCAGCCCCTGAGATATTGGAATACTGCTATCATGTCACCCCTAGTCCTTCTCTTCATTAAACTAGACATACCCAATTCCAGCAACCATTCCTTATATGTTTTAGCCTCCAGTCCCCTAATCATCTTTGTTGCTCTTCTCTGTACTCTTTCTAGAGTCTCAACATATTTTTTACATCGTGGTGACCAAAACTGGATGCAATATTCCAAGTGTGGTCTTACCAAGGCATTGTAAAATGGTATTAATACTTCACGTGATCTTGATTCTATCCCTCTGTTAATGCAGCCTAGCACTGTGTTGGCTTTTTTGGCAGCTGCAGCACACTGCTAGCTCATATTTAAGTGATTGTCCACTAGGACTCCAAGATCTCTCTCACAGTTACTACTATTGAGCAAGATACCACCTATACTATACCTGCACATTTGGTTTTTCTTGCCTAAATGTAGAACCTTACTAATAATAACAATAAACGGTAAGTAACTGAAAATCTTCCAGTCTCTTATTTTAGGCTGTATCAAAGTAATAGTGGGGAATTAGGGTATCGGTTTGAGAACATGCTACTTACTGTTTTTTTGAATTACTTACTGTTTACATGATTACAACTAGCAATAAAGTATCAAGATTTGAAAATCAACTTTTCTATTAATGTGGAAATTTTGCAAAATACAATCAAAACCTCTTTAAATTTCGGTTATTTCATAATATTTTTATAGATTTTATTTTCACTTTTCCAAATTTGATAGATCGCCATTTTTAAATTTAAAGTTCCTTCAGCAATGTGGGGACTAGCTATCTCTAAGTGAGTTTTTCTCATTTAATACAGAAATTCTTTGATCTTGAATCAGAAGGTGCATGCTTTATTAAGGAGCCAAAAAACTCTTCTCTTCTCAAGCTAAATCGCAATAAATATGTGGTGACTGATAGAGCTGCTTATATTGGTAAGTAAAGAATTGAATGAGCCAGTTCCAGTCTGATTATTTATATACTGTTTGTAGCTTTGAATCTAGAATAACTGATTAAGTATAAAGCATCTGAACAATAAAAACCTAATTTATATAATATATATATATATATATACAATCTTGTTTTATTAGTAAGCATTACATTTGAAAAAATTAGCATGTGACATAACCTATTTACGTATGAATCTGAGATTGTCATGGAGAAAGTAAATTCAATCTGCCTCTATATTAAATATAAACTATCAAAAGTGTTCAGCCTGAAGTTTAATTAAGAAAAAAAATGTTTTCCAATTGTTACATAATTTTGATTGTCCTTTCATTTACCTTATAGGTAATTTTGACTGGGTTGGGACCTATTTTAATCAGAATGCTGGAGCTGGTCTTGTCATCAACCATGCAGACACAGGGAACAAAACCAGCATAATTAAACAACTTAAAGCTGTGTTTGAAAGGGACTGGTATTCACATTATGCTAAAAGTTCAACAGCAAAGATCTCAAACTGCCTAATCTACAAACACAGCAAAGCTGCAGCCAATAAGTCTGCCATAAGCAATATGAACTGATGCCTCTTTTACTGTTCAGCATCACAGCCAAGGGAGAAATAGAGTAGGACTGATGCTGACTTCCACTTTCTTATTTATGGACAATAGACTTTTTTAAAATAAAAAAACTTTATAGTAAAAAAGCACACTTACATAAAATGTTCTTTAAACTATATTCTGTATACTGTATTATTTACAAATGCTAGATTTGTTACTGCTGACAATGAATGTCTTTTCGGCTTTGCTATTGATTTGGACATATTCATATTTAAAAGCATGCTCGATTTCTTAGTTTGAAAGTTATTTCTACCTCTCTCTACTATATAGTAAAATGTATATACAAAGTAAGTTTGATTATGGAAAAAAATTCTTAAAAGAGTTGATAGTAAGTGCAGATTTCCATCAATTCCACAATTTAAGTACATATAAACCCTTTATTGTATAAATAGTATATTCCCAGTTTAAGATACTGATTGTCTACCTGAATTCATAATACTGTGTCCATCCCAGATATATTTAAATGACCTATTATTACTTGAACCTCTAAAACAAAATTGTAAAGGGAATTGTTCTAATCAACCATAACCATTAGCTTCTGCCAGTCATACACTAATCTACTTTGATTTTCTGGGGGAAAATGAAATTATGCCTTAAGCACTACAAAATACATTTTAATTTTTTTTGAAAAAAATATGAGACATTAATAGGTTGCATGTAACTTTGTTACCTGCCATATTGAAGTAAAAATGTTTGTCTCTGCGTAAAATCGTTTCTGCAGGTCTAAAGCTCACATTTATTATGTGAAGAAATGGGGCATAATCCACTAGGACAGTGTTTCTCAACCTCGGCAACTTTAAAAATTCTCCAGCCACTGCACTAGGGATTTAGAGGCAATTCACACCTTTTTTCCTTTCCAGGCAGCCCACAATGGAGGATGAGCATTCATGCACATGTCCTTCCTCATTTCCCATATAACTCACTAAGCAACCTCTGATCTCCTACAGAAGGACAGGATCATTCTGATGAACACCATGGAAACCCTCTTGATGTCAGCAATTATGATGCAAATGAATGGTGATATGAGGTTTACTCAACCTTCTGATAAGATACTGAGAGATCTTAAAATGAAGTTAAAAGTTAACAATGATTTTGGTGGTTGTTGATGGTTGAATACCATGTTAGCAGAAAAGGGCTTTATTTTAAAAAATATGGTGAGCTCTTCTATTATTTAAGATGTCTATCCTTACTGTTCATGCAGAAATAATTGTTCCCAGTTTAACATTTTTCAGATAAATATTCTTAGACTAACTTTTCTAACATCTAAATGACTTTGTGTATTGTTCGTTTATTTTTTTTAAAAAGCCAACTATAACAATAATGTCAGTTGAGTACTTATTAAATAAACATAAATCCTCATAGATTTCTAAAGCTTACAAGATAGTCTGTAGAATTTCTGATTATAAAGTGAATTTAATTTTAAATTCTTAGATTTTGAGAAAAAGAAGCAGACTGATTAACATAACAAAAGCATTTCTTGTAGGCAAATGTAATATTTCACATTCAAACTACTTACTCTGTATCAGCAAGCCTATCATTAGTATTTAAAATATTTATAAAATAAATTCCTACTAAACTAAAATTAATCCATAAGTTTCCCTTACAAAGTGAACATCCAGGAAAAATATGGCAGCCTTATACCATAGTTCTAGAGCAATGTTTATATATATACAATTGTTTTTAAGTTGTTTTTAAGTTATAACAGCCAGGCTGTTGTGATAGGTTGGAAAAGTTGCTCAGAAGCTGTATTTTCATGTCAAGTTCTGGGCCTATAAATTGTTAAAGTAGCCATTTGTCAATAACTCATCAGTTCCATTTTCAGAAGTCACATGCATATTCTTTTGCTATAGATATAAGCTTCCAAATTTCAGCTTGCTCAATATTGAAGGCAAAGTATTCAGCATCGATAAATTAAATTACTTTCTTCTGGCTGAGCAGGAAAGTTTGATTTGTTTGAAATGGAAAGTGAAGGCACCAGTTTTCAGAGCTAGTTGATATGATACATGATAAGGATTGCAATGACGCTGGAAGTAGATGAACGGAACCCCAAAAACTTCAAGACTATCCATACAGTCTCTCCATATCAGTCAGAAGTAAACTGACTAGAATTGCACTGTAAAGCTTTCTTTTAAACTGATTTCCTAAGTTTATTTACTGCAGATATATTCTCCTCCTTTTGTCTATCACATCCATTATTTTAGTCTAGAATTTTTGTGTTCTAATGATGCTGAACTTCTTCTAGCAATCTATAATTTCTGATAGAGGACAATATTTGTAGCTCAGGGTTGAAATGATCAGCCCTTGGCGCTCTCTGAGGTTGACTGTTTTCTTCCAGACATTTCATTACACAAACTAGGTAACATCATCAGTGCACTGATGATGTTACCTAGTTTGGGTAATGAATCATCTGCAAGAAAACAACCAAGCTCAGAGAGCGCCAAGGGCCCCTCAGTCTGTGATTTACCTATAGAAAAGCCCGTAACAATATATAATTCAATCATAGCTTTTACAGTTTATGGAAACAAGAGAGGTGTTCATGCAGAAAATGTGCTTTGTTTCCTGCACAGAACATCATGATTTACAAGAACATTGTGATTTGCAAGTTTTGTCATGGCTGCCTAATTTATTTATTTATTTGTTTACATACAGTATCTGGTATAACAATGTTTTCCATAAATCTGGAACCCAAAGCACCTTTGGATTATACAGACAGCATGTGAGATTTTCAGGCTTCAAAAGTCAGGGAGGACAGCTAGATTCAGAAAAACTCTTAACTTTTTGTTGCCATTAACTGATCATTGGAGGGAAGAGTCAGGTTCTTTAAATGTTTATCCAGTGGTGGGATTCAAATATGTGAACAACCGGTTCTCTGTGTGGATGCCGCTTCCGGAAGTCCATTCTGGGCCTGGGCAACAAAAAATTAGCTACCAGTTCTGCCGAACTGTTGCAAATTGGCTGAATCCCACCACTGTGTTTACCCCCAAAAAGAAAATGCATCTTGTGGGCTGGTGGCATCCCCTTCCTATTCCTGCAAAAAAAAAAAAAAAAAGATTGTGATCTCTGTATGAAAGAAAGATAGACATAACACTTGTGAGAAACATTATCTCCTTGCTGGCTGCCATCCATGCTAAATTCAAATTCCTCGGCAAATAATTCTTTGATACTTGAAGTGCTATAGAAAATCTGCCATAACCTTCAAACCAACTTCAAAAGCTTTGCAGCAGAATACACCGCTAACTGCATCACAGAAATATACGGTTGGAAGGGAATTTGGAAGTCATCTAGTCTAGCACCTTCCAGAAGCCTCAGATTTTCCATCAGATGGCTCTTTTTAAACACTTCTGTGCAGTCAACAGTGCACAAGAGGATAAAATGCATACTTATGTATGAGAGAATTCATAATGCAGAGGATACATGGATGGATAAACAGTGATACAACCCCCTCCCAGCCAAACACTACAAAAGCTAGCCAACCACATTGAATCTCTGATTTTTGAATTCATGCAAAATTCTTTTTTTAAAAAATCCAAAGACAGAGTCAAACCAAAGCAAACTGTTTGTCTAAAACAGGGGTAGTCAACCTTGGCTCTTTTATGACTCGTGGACTTCAATTCCCAGAATTCCTGAGCCAGCTTAGCTGGCTCAGGAATTCTGGGAGTTGAAGTCCACGAGTCATAAAAGAGCCAAGGTTGACTACCCCTGGTCTAAAACTTCAGGAAAAAACAATGACTAAACTACATTGATGATAATTTGCTGTGTTTAGCTGTTGTGGAGCTATTAGAGTGCCTTGCGAATCACAATTACAGTCACTGATTTCCTACAGAAAGACTTCCTGAATCTCCATCAAGAAAACAAACTTAAGGGTCCTGGTGTTGGGACAGATGGAGCTCAACATGGCTTTGGTAAAGCACCTGCTTCCTCTTCACATTCCTTCATCTTCAGTCCCTAATAGAGGGGAATGTGCTGGCTGTTTGAAATGTCAACTCCATCCTATCTGTAGCTATTGTGGGGAAAGAGTTCCTCCTCTAGCAACTCTCCCCTGATCTTGCCCATCATAGTACCAAGTGGAAGGTACCACTGCTGGTTCGGTAGGCAAGGTACCAAAACCCAGTTTCCTCACTGGCTTTTGATACCCCCCCCCCACTTTTGGCTTGGCTCACCTTTTGACCAGCCTTGCTTTCTCATCCATGGTTTATTCAGTGGGTTTTTAATAGGGGGATGTTTCTTCTCTTCCTAGACTCATTATTCTAGACCAGGGGTAATCAATCTTGCGAGTCATAAAAGAGCCAAGGTTGACTACCCCTATTCTAGACTAAATTGGCTCATTCATTTTGTATAAAATTACCACGATGAGCATTTTTTTTTCTATTCTGGCCTTTAGAAAAGCATTTCTTTCCTGAGGCCTGGCTATAAAGTAATAATCTCACCAAAAACGGTCTTACAATGAACCTCACATCTTCATATTCTATTTTTATGATTAACCAAGAAAAATATTAAGAGCCTTCAGGTCAATATATAATAAGCATATTTGCTGCTGCATACCAAGTCGTTGATTTAGGCATAAATTGTTTGGTTATTGCTTTGACTTTTTAGTTAACTCCAAATGTACTCAGACAGATTGAATAACTCCTTGAAAGATTGTACAATTAATTGCACTGATTTCTCCATCTCAAACTTACAGGTATGAGACAATAATTCCTCACTTTAATTTGACAGAATCCTTGATCTAAACTTCATAAAATAAGGTTCTATTTCATCCCTTTTTATCCTTTTTAATAATTTTTCTTTAGCCATTGTCATGAAAATATCATCTTTGTGAAGGCTACTTTTCAGAATATTTAATATACAGCTTTTAACTTATTTCATTCAAAACCTAATCTTACTTAATTCTTGTATATTATTTATATTAGATTTACTTTGAACTTTCAACATTTTACTTTATTTATTTATTTATTTATTTATTT